GATAAAAAATAAAAAAGTTGTGGTTTTTATGCAGCCAAATTTTCAATATTATTGTGTTAAAGAAATGTTCAATCTTACAAATATACAAGTGGTACTTTGTCGTACAATACAGTCTGTCGAAAAAGTATACAATGAAAAACAAAAAATTGGAACCTTCACTAAAACTGGATTTACAGTGATAAACATAAATGCAGATCTTAATACAAGTTAATAAGAACTGAAAAAAAATGACTACATCATTATTCTAGTAAAACGGTTGTAGGTTTGTGCTACACGTAAGCCCATTTACAAAACTGGAATATTTATATACAGACGAAAGCAATCAAACTATCCATAAAAGCAAATGTTTATAGGTTTATAACAATTCCAAACTTATTAGATTCATGTTCCTACATAAACATAACGATTATACCGTACCATTTAATGTGCTCAACATCGGGTTTTTATTGTCACCCCAGTAATTCTGTTAGATTCACTTTTTGCATCATAAAATAAGAAGTTACATCTGGTAATTAAACGCGATAAACCCGCATGCATACGGTTAAAATTATCCTTGCTATTTTACGTCCGATAAGTTAACATCACGCTCGTTCCACGAAATTTCCCCTCTAATAATTAAAAATTCAATGAGTGCACCAGAATACAAGATTTTTTAACTGTAACACTTGAAAGTTTTTGGGAACTGTTGGTTTGTTTAATACTCAGTGTTTGCTAAGCCATCACATTCTTGTATGACAAATAAGTACTCGAGAGGTTTAGCTTTGTCTACATCCCGCAATGTTTAAAAATCTGTCAACCATTAAAACCTCGCAAATCGAGAAACATAATTGTAAAAATAGGGGGTGGAAAAGCCAGCAATTGTTGAAAATCCACTTCACTGAATGAATTTTTAAAGCAGTTGCTACTCTGATTGGCTGTTGAACGGAATCAAAGCTTCCTGAAGTGGTTTTCACCGATTCCAAAATACTTTTTTTTAATCAATACACTGTAGAACTCGAATGTATTTTTGCTATTGTTGACATAAAGCGCGTTCTAAATTTAACTCCTTCATGTCACCAATGACTTCCGGTAGTCAATTTTTAGATAATCACACATTTTGAAAATAAATAAACCAGTGATATATGAACTAAACAAACCATGCTGAAAATTAAACAAATATTGCTTAACGTCAAATAGGCTGACAACAATTTGAAAAACAAATCCAAAGCGTAATGACCTATACTACAAACTTTTCATAATTACCTCAGGAAAATCACCTACTTTAGTTTTTCCAGACCGCAAGTTTATACCTGTTCATTTTGAAATAATTCAGTCACACGCGATCACCTTAACTTTCACCACCGTATTTCACAACAAACCTTTTTTGCACGTACCAGACGTTCGTCCTTCATTAATAATCTAATTATTACGGAACGTTTGAACATAACAAATAACTTCAATAACGCAGAAACGGGTCACTGAACCTTCCTAGTTCATAATTTATTACTTTTTTTTATGTCACGTTAAATTTTATTTTGATGTTTTGTCTATTTCTGTTAATACCTCCTAAATGCTCACAATTCGTCACGAAATAATAAAAATCAATCGCCCACGTACGGTCTAAAACTCCGCATTACAGTTTTACTGCTTTTTTCACCTGAGTTTCTTTTATTGAAAGCATCTAAAATTCAGGCGAAACGTGTTCGAATTGGATCATGCAGAAGTACGAAACCCGTGCTAGAATATAAAATTTATTTGCAATTAAGTTTTTATAGGGAGAGTGGCGCATAAATTGTGCGAAAAAATTTTAAAAAACATACTCGTAACATTTTTATAAGTGGACTCGACTTTTGTCTGGCCAAAAAATTTCGAAGCTGAATGCTCACATGATTATAACAATAAGAATAATAAATTATTAATTATTTTCAAGATAATTTGTAGCTCTCGTAAATAAAATATGTTGTTGTAAATCTAAGTAAGGATTTCCTTGGAAAAAGCTGTAAATTAAAGTTAATGGCCAGATCAGTTTTCTTGTTAACTACATATTACGTAATTATTTTCTGAAAGTTAATATCCGCCATGTGCTATGTTGGGTGAATTGTTGCTGAATTAAGGAATAAATTCTATTGTATACTAACTCATAATTTTGAATAAATACAAAATAAATGAAACATTAAAATAACGATGAAATGAAACTCAAAGCACATGACTACATATAACTATATTAACATAAGTAACCTTCACTAACTGTGAAGGTTTTGATGTTAAAATTCAAATTTTTGACAGCTAGAGAGAAATAAGTTAAGAACTTCGTAAGTATCGACACACGTTTACATTAGACATGGTGAACTAGAAGTGGTTTTTAAAAATTTATTTTCATTGTCTACAACTCTGCCTTCACAAATTTTTAAAAATAAAGAGGATAAAAAATAAAATAAGATGCAGTAATAAAATACACAAGAACAAACTAAAAAACAGAAAAATCGATATGCGAAAATTGTAAAATTTGTTTTGCATGACTTTCAAGAAAATTTGTATAACGTGGTGTAATTTACGCTATTCCAATTTTCTTGAATTTTTTTAGCAAAGCAAGGGTTCACAAAAAAAATCGCCATAGGGTTATTTTTAAAACTTGTAGTGGAATATTTTGTATAATGATGAATAAAAGTAGACGCAGAGAACAAAAAAAAAGTAAGATTTATTAATAATATATATATAGGATATTCTATTTGAAAAAGCTGACGGAAAAAAAAATATTATCAGTACATATTTAATTTTTAATCATTTACGTTCATACATCGAAAGAATGCGACGATTAAGCACGCAGCAAGCTGCCTGTTATTAATTATTATATTTCTTATTTTATTATTATTAAAATACTGGCGGGCGCAACATTACTGTATTCTAAAATTTTCGGGCAAAGAAGATGAATCATTCCTGATTTAATCATAAAAAAAAATAGTGACTCATGAGTCAATCGAACCAGCGACCTTGGCACAACCACCAACTTTACCACATATCAGTGTTATTATTGTGGTATAAAATATGATGATCAATTGAAATTTGTTTTACGAAAATCTGGAAGGTAAAAAATCAATGCGGATTCATAAATCACACGTATAGGAGTACGTTACTTAATAAAAATGACATTTACTTCAAAAAAATTCAAGGACACTATCAAATTGTTGAAAATCGACACAAACGACAGACAGACGAGAAACAGACGGAAACGGGAGACGGCTTTTTTCGTGCTCTCGGGGTCACGAAACGTTGAGAAAACATGTAAGTAGCAGTCGTCCAATAGATTCTAATCCTTCGCTGATGCTTGGAAAGTAAAAATTCAAAAATAACGTGGCAACGTCGCATAAACTGTAATAAAAATAACCCGTAATAGTTAACACCTTTTCTGAGCACGACCTGCTAATCAAATTATTGAAAAAACGTTGAATAATTATCAATGATAAAAACCGAAAATGTCTATACAGTTCCAAGATTGTATACTGGATGTATCCAGAATGAGCAAACGACAAACGCTTGAGATAAAATTTTTGAATATCTTTTTTTACATTTATGACACGTTTGTAACCTTCAGTTATAACATTCACCAAACATGTTAACATGTTTCTCTATTGATGCGATAAAATAAACGTTTTCGATTGCATATTCCAAAAAAAGGCAATTTTGGCAACTTTTAAGCAATACGTTCGGGTCATCAGAGATTCCCGAGCTATGATGACATCATTTTAATGATTTTTTTTTTTAAGTTTTAAATTAACAGTCGGAACGTCTAAAATAATGTTCATTGTTTATTGTTATTACCTATTCCAAACTTAATATAACAGTGTGATGGTTACGTAAATACAAATAAAGTCATTATTTTATTTTATCTTGAATGTTATCTGTCTTTTATCCACTAAAAGAAGAACACTTCATCGATTTATCAGAATCAAAATCTTCAGTTTATGACGAAAAAAATGCCTCTGTACCCTGTCTTGTTTTCTAATTATCAAAATTAATTGAAACTTTGGAGTCAAATCTGTCTGGTTACCAACTTCATACGTTCCACAGCCCATATTATCTGTACACGTTCCAGCGACTACAGGCCTCCAACTTCTGGATGTTTATATTCATTTATCTTGAACAATAATTATTGTTATTGACCAAACATGCAAAATTTGTAGTGGTTGTCTGTCACTTGGAATTATTTGTCGCCAGTTTTTGTTACCAACTGTTGGTACTAAAAATCATGACTGTATTTACACCAAATTTTGTTCTTTTATACAATGTGCGCTAATTTAATAACGGAAAATTGAAAAAAAAAAGAGTGCAAAACATTCTGAAACAAGTTGGTATTGTTTCAAAAATTCATGTATGTTGTTAATTTTACAAATAAAGTGGGCGGACTATAATTAAATTTGCACAACAAGTATGACAATGGTAAAACTATGCATCATCTGCTCTAAAATAATACCGTGAGATAAATAGGAAAAATAAATTTCCTGTTTTAACTGTACTTAACGTTACGTTATGCTTGACAAATACATGGTCAAATGTAATAATTTTATAACAAATTTCATCCTGTAGTTCAAGAGCTCAATCCTACAACCGGTTTTTACAACGCGAATGCAGAGTTATTCACTGTTAAAAAACAAACACATTTAAATAAGTGTAATTCGTTCCATCGTCTACGATACAGCGAAAATGGAAGAAAAAGAACTTTTCCTATTCGCTCATAACAAAAATGGAAGCCATAATTTCTGAAATAGGCGCCTGAAAGCCATAAAGAAAATTATAGGATTAACATTCTCTGGCAAAAAGCCGCAGTTACGACATAATAGCAATAAAGACTGAATTATTAACAGTAAATACTATCAATAGAAGCGTAGTATCGATTCACCTGTCACTTTCACGCGACAACGGTCGTTGACATGACAAGAAGAAATGTAACTTGTTACGGATTTCAACAGCAGCTTAGCCGCTCTCAAATTGACATTCAGGTGCGAACACAAACGCGGACTTACCTTCTTCAAATCCGTCACCGATCTCTTCACCCAAATGTCTTCGGCACTACCGCTACAATCGATCGTGGAGCTACTGGAATTCTGACTCTTCATTTCGATGAGCGACGAATCGAAAAATCTAGTATCATAATGAGGTGTCGGGAATGGTGCTTTGAACAGATTGTAAACCGAAGGCCTTTTAGAGTCCTGCGGAGGTATCCCGTGCACGGTGTTAGCTTGTCTATATTGTTGTCTATTAGCAAAAATTTTCGCAGCTTCCGAAGGCTGCTTGGTCTTTGTAATCACAAATTTATGGGTGGGTCCACTAACAGTATCGATCACAGACGTTTTAGAACCACTAGAAGATTCCGAGAGGCTCTTATCACTACCGGAAATTGTCGACATGTTGCTGCTAGAAGGCACTTGGTCTTTCAAGTCTTTTTTCTCTTCGTCTTCGTCTTCTTCGCGGCACTGAGACAGTCTACGGGCTGAGGCTGCTACCCTGGACGGCAAGCTGTTGCTGTGGTTTTGGAAATAGCGCCTTAAAAATAACGAACTCCCGAAATCCCTGTCCTCGCCAGTGATATCTTTCAAGGCGGCTATTGTAGATTCCGTGTTGTGATTGATTGTCGATACGAGCTCGTCGGGTTCTATATCGCTATCGTCAGAAAGGGAAATCGTCGAAGATGATCCACTTTTTGAAGGCATAGTAGAAGTCAGAAGGTGATGAACGGGATCCAAAGTCACTTTATCGTTGATTGTAGACTTCGATTGCAGAGAGACATCAGAGTCCATCTAAAACGTCACTGTCATGCGGCATTGCGCTATGTTGCGAAAGCAGTGAACTCATAATAGTTATTTTCAGAAACTACACCTTAATTAAATTTACCTAGGCTACGAAACTTTGATAGAGGTTAATCTTGACGCTTGATTAGCTAATTGTACGTCGCGTGCTTTGAAAATTAATTATAGAGCAGACAACCCTAATTTATGGGCTTTTTTCATCAATACTACGAGTCTAGTCGAAACGAACTCATTCTATCATAAACGTTTCGCAACTACCAAGTTCAAGGCTTATTAAACACGCCTTAATGCCAATAATGTATTCCGAATCATTTACATATCTGTTTGTGTAGTGCTCCCAACAAGGCACCTGATTAATATAGTTGGAAAATATTGAACAGTGTATAAAACGCTGGTGATTTCTCATCCGCAATTTGTGCTTTCAGTTAGGTAAGCCTACACAAAAACTGTGACCCAACTGACCGGTTCAGCAACAAAATATTCCACAGGATCGTGGAAAGATCAAAACTTTATTACGACCACAAAATCCGTTTTTGCAGCGCTAAAATAGCACTGCTGACTGCATTTTGTGTTGTCCCTATATAAATGGAAGAGGTTAAGTGTGTTCTGTTACATCAGATTTACATAATTTGTAGGAAGGCTGCATGTTAAAGAGACGTACGTAATAAAATATATGGTCATTACTTCAATACGAGTTTGTCGAACTCCTACAACTGGTACAAAAGTTTAACAATAAAAGACTTGAAAGCAATCCGCGATTTGTTCGATTAAGAGACTCGCAAAATACGAAGGCTTTAAATCTTCGGATTTAATGACTCCACGCTTTTCCAAGTATAATTTGCTGGCATAGTTTTCAAAACACAGATATTTTTTTCTTATTTAATTTGTTTTTGAAAATAGGCGAACCTATTGAGCTGGCATATCGGCTACATGAAACACGTAGAAAATATTGTACAAAAAATGAAAAGTGATTATGATAAAAATCAAAGCTTAAACTTTGCTTATGCAGGTAGTTAGAATGGCAGAATTTACCGATGACATTTTGAATTGTTTTATTACATTTCCGATTTAGTTGTTTTTTTGTTTTTAATAAATACCAGCTCAGCTCCCGTTGGTGTAGGAATCTGTTCGGTTCACGCGAAGGTGGGCGGGTCGACCGTCGCAGCGAATCTTAACCAATTTCAAACTTTTTAAAGAATTCATTGTTTTTGTGTCGGGGTTTTAAGAATTAACAATTGATACTAAATCAAGGCTATATTCTAAATGATTGATTATTATGTATTGAGTTATTATTTTAATTGTTCATACAATTTTAATGGAAATAACGCCATTGTTGTTGGTATTCATTATCAACTTCTTCACAAATCGGAAGATTTTTGATAACTGACAACACCGTCGCGAATTCTCCCATATAAATACATTGCTTACGGGCTTTGTACGCTGCCAACTCAAAGCGTAACGAGCAATAGGTTGATTTCCGGGTAAACCGGAAGCGTAAACAAATTGAAAATGTCATCAGTAAATTCTTTGATTGTAACTAAATATGCTGCCAAAATAAAAAAAAAATCGTTTTACAAAATAACAAAGAAAATTGATTGTTCTGAAACTGTATCTATTATAAAAACTCCTTCTTGTGTAATTCAATACAAAATATAATCACAGTATTTAACCAGGATATGTGTGCACAATAGTGTTAAAATTAGCCTCATGGCTAATTTACTCGGAAAAAATACTTCCAATTAAGCTGATACATATCTAGTCGAAACGATCAAAAGCATTGTCTTTATGTCTCAGTTCCCTTACAACTTTAATTTTCTGCATTTCAATGAATAATGTCGCATTTTAATGTTTTGAGGTTTTATATTTACATAAATTTATCAACAAACCACAGCGCTACAAAGTGACATTTCCTCATTACAAAAAAAATATTATAGTTAAAAATAAAGATGTTACAATGTTTCGATATAGAAATAAATATTTTATCAATAAATTGTTTATGTTTGCACCATGTAGGTGTACTCAACGATTTAAAAATGCCAATAGCACTTTAAATCCAGCGTGCATTTATACCTCTATAATGTTACAACTTTCAAAAATATGTGATAAAACAGGTTTCATTCCATATATTTCGTAAGTGTCTATGCGGAAAGATAAAACCAAATGCTAAAACAGTCCTACACGAAAAGTTAAATCTTTCGTGGGTTCAAAATTTAGTTCCCTATTCCACTTTATTTATACAATTGTTTCTTTCAATGTTGTTGCTCATTTAAAAAAAACTGTTACTACACCGGAATCGCTGAACAGATCCTATGATCGCGTGCAAGTGCTAAAGGCCTATTGAGTCTACGCTGCCCTCAAGACACATGTTTGCTTACCAATAGGAACGCTAGATTTGTTGTTTACACGCTTTTATGACTCCGTTTGTTAGACGACTCTAGTATTAGAATCTATAAGTGACTTGAAACTTCCACTCAAAACATCCCCATTCATAGTGGCAAATGCAAGTTAGTCTTTTCTTTGTAGCTAAAGATTTACAACGTAATTTTTCTGTGGGGGCCTCAATATTATGTCATATGTGACTAATTGACAACAATTTTAATGTTCAGGTTTGTTTCATTCCACACCGCAGAACTAACAACAACAATGTTGTCACAGCCGTTTTAATCTTATTATAATCTACCACTATTAAAACAATATAACGTCATATTTGAACAGAGTGTATAACACAGTTTATGGTTTGTACGAAAGGGTTCAACAATTTTTAAATTTCGGTAACATTGACCGCACTTTAGAAAATTTAAGTACCTAAGAAGCACATTAAAAGCGTGTGCAAAACCGAAATTTATGGTCACGATTTTAAAACAATAAAATGTTCATTTGATCGCCGTTCAACAAGCCAGCAGCTTCACTTACAATGGAACAAATTACGAAATGAAATCCACACCCACGTGCTTGTAATTATGATGCTATCAAACAAAGCAATTTAACAATAATAAATTCCGCGAATTTGTAATACCATTTAGCTAATGAGCACTTAATTTTTTCGCACTAATTGCACAAACATATTCTAGCAGAACACGAACAAAACAACAATTTATTATACAAAATGGAAAAACCCTTGACGGTGTGCCAAGAAACGCGGAAAAAATTCAATTTCAACACCAGGAAAAGTCAGCTGAACTGATTTCATCCCTTTGAAGACGACTAAGAACCGCGATTTCCGCATCTAATATAGCCCGTGCGTACATCCCTGTGTTTGCATTTGGCAAACACAATTTTTTCGCAACATTCGCATATAGTAGTATGACGTGGTAACAATAATGATTAATTCTAGCAACTACATTATTCACGCTTAACAATAACCCATCTGTTCGCCGGGTCTAATTCGGCAATTTCATTTTCGTGTGATAAACACGGAAATATGGAAATTAGAAAAGCCGCATTTAACCGAAATGACTCAATGACGGTCAAGCTCGCCTTTGGACGGCTTCGATGTCATGTGCTTAGGGTTTTTATTATTTCAGGTCACCGTGAAGGAGTTCATGTTCTAACTACTTCAGTATCATTACACGTGTGCTGTGTACTTAACTTATCATCGAACTTATTGCATGTGCAAACAAAGCAATTATTCGAGCCTATTTTTGGTAGCAACAATACTCCGGGGACGATAATTAGCTTTATTGAATTTGTCAAATTGCTGTTTAAAAAAACAAATAATTACCGCATCCTTGAGGGTTTGACTTTGAAACATTTTGGTGTTCGTTTGGAAGCTGCTCCACTCGAAAAATGGAAAAACTTTATCTTTTCCAGCAACAAAATATAAACATGGAATTGTACCGGACTGATAAAATTTAAAGCAATTACGATTCTGATGTGATGTTAGTCTGTCAGCTGTTAATTCAAAGTTGCAGATTTTTTTTTAATTTCATAAAAAGTTAAAAATACATCCAAAGTTATCAATTTTCAAGGAGCAGATCCACTTTTCAAGTATTCTAGAACTCTTATGCTGTGCAAGTCGTGGAATTTTTGTGGATCACTCGGTACACGATAACACTATCACTTCAATTACCCCACAAACACCGAAAAACACAAAACTGTGGACGCGTTTCGCCAATTACGTTTATATATACTTAAAAAATTATTCGCCATCCTATCAATCAAACCAGACAAATCTATTTAAATACTAAAATTCTGGAAACGCTTTTAGTTTTAGTCTGAAGATATAAACTTAATTTAATACATGGCACACACAACGCATCTTGAAGATCAGCATCGCATCGCAAATTAATGTTTTAGCAAAATAGGACCTGAGAGTTTTAATCAACTTCTAAAAATCTTTTACGGATCACCACAAACATAAGTAAATCTAGGGGTGTTAAATTTGGGATGCGAGCTGGCCATCGACTAGGGTTTCTATTGTCGATCCGATTTTCATAAAAAGTCAGTTTTCCACAGGCAACAAAAAATATTGAAGTAATATTGTGTTTACACGTCTGTTTCCATTTATGTTATTTACTAACTGTAAATAATGTTATGTATTTATGTTGACTAAAACACATAAAAATGTGTTATATCAGTGAAATCGTAACTTCATGATCTACCAAAATCCGTTAAAAAATACACCTTGCAATTTTAAAAATACACATGTGTAATATTTCTATCCGTTCTCAAGACATCAGGTAACGGAGTTATATTTGAAACACCCTGTATATTAAGTGAAAACAAATATTAGGATTACAAAAGACTTTGTAGAAACAAAATTAAAAATTCGAGAATTCAAATAAATACCATACTTATTATACAGGGTCATTATAAAATATTGTAGTCGAAGAAGGCCATGATTTTGGTGACATTTTGTGCCGCCTTTTTCAGTTTTGTGGAAAGGATTACACTAATATTGGAATTTTTATTTTTAGCGCCACATTAGTTGACATTAGCGGCTGCACTGTTTCAACGCTTCATCAAATTCTGTCAGATGTCAATAATTTTTT